TGGGAGAACAGGTGCTTTGGGTTTCTCTTGCGAGACATCAGCCCATATCTGTTGTATAAACTAAACTGAGATGGGTACAGGCAAAAAACAGCCCCTAACTGGGGCTAATGAGGCCCAGCTGCTTTCCTCCCCCCACTGTAATGTTGTGATAAGACAGGGACTTTGAAACACCTGTGACTCAGATATTGTTGCAGCATGAATAATGTACCTATAGGCTGTATACCTGGGAGGGAGCTGTATCATTACAACTAACACTGCTGCAGTCACTACAGCTCGTACCGCTGCAATACCTCCAGGAGAACGTTCTGTCTCTGGTGTGTTTGTGGGATATCTGAAAGGTCTCAGGAACAGAAAATAATTTGGAGATCTTAAAAACACTTGAAAGTAGAAAAGCACTTTTGCATTCAGGCCTCCCTGCAGCTAAAGGCAAATACATGATATATAAAGCAGCAGACATGAGAGCACTTGTTTTACTTTGCTTGAAATCCTTCTGGTAACAGGGATGTTTCTTCCTTATTTCGCTGAGTCAGGAGAGAGGCCCTGAACTGCCATTCTCTCTTTTCAGATCTTGTTTTCTCGCCAAAATATTTTGCAATTGTTTTTAGGATAAAAATATAAATGTGAAACACAAGGTGTGATGAAACAGCTAGAGTAACAGGGGCAAACATGTTTTTCTCTCCCCCCTCCAAAAAAGATTGAAAACAGGCTGCCTTTATGAGAGCTACCCCGTTCCCCAAAGTTACAAAATGTTCCTTAGCAGGCAGATGAATAACTACTGTACTATACAGTAAACAGTTTATTCACAAGCAGTCAGTCCAGGAGAAAGCTCTTTATTGTAGTAGTCTACCAAACAAAGGTTGCCATTCAGTCCTGTTTTGCCCTCTCCCAGAAATGACTGTTACATGGAAAATCTTAATTCTTGTGAGAAAAAGGATCATGATCATGGTGACTGGACTGGAAAGTGAAGAGGAGCTGCTTGCACTTGTCTGAAGTAGTGCTTAAGTTAGCTCACGAGTACAACCTGCTCAAAAGGCTCAACTACAGCTGACTATGGTCTGACTGGAAGAGGACGTAAGCACCCACAGCTACTGCAGGCTTCAATGTGAATGGCAGTTCTTCAGTATAATTAAGTATTGGATGTTTTCTCCTAGCAGTTTCTACTGGATGTCTCATTCTTTTAACTTCCCATTTCAATTTGTTATGCAGTGTTGCTCTTAGCTGGTAACCACATGCGTTGTGGAAGAGACAGCTTCTTTAAAAAAAACATGCAAACTGGAAAGACTTGCAATTTCATCCACCATGCCCGAGATGTGGTCTCTGCCAGGCTGTTGTGTCATGTATGGAGCAAGATCCAACTTGGCCATTCTGGTTGCATGGCTCCTATGGAAGAATGAAAACAGGAGCTCTTTGGAAGCCTCCAAGTAAATAAATTAGGAGTGGTTGAGAAGTCTGGACCAATGGTGCCTTGCATGCTCTTTTCACAACCTAATTAATACATGGAAGCTGCAACCTCGACTGGCCTCAAGTGAGTGCATCTAATGCCATTGCTGAATCTGCCCTGGCGAGCCCTGTTTTATTGATGTCCTCCTGCGGTTAGGTTACTTGGGATGTGGGAGATTAAGCAGCGTACAAGGTTCAGGGCTCTTGCACCTGAAGGGCAAATCATTCTTCACCACCAGCAAGATCCTGGACCTACTCTAATTTATAGTGTCTGCCAACTGTAGCCAGTGGGTGCAGGTAACACCCAGCTGTGCCCCTTCTGCCAATCCCAGCTTTTGTGGAAGGAAGGCTGTTGAACCTCTCTGCCACAAAGGACATACTTCATGCTGGTGATGGCTTCATGATGGTGAACAGAGCAAAGCTGCACTAACTCAATGGAGTCTGCCCCAGTGTGCTTCATCCCTCAGAAACCAGGCTGCCAACAGTGGCTGCTTTCCAGTTGCTGGCTGAATGCAGTGTGGTTTCATTTCAGGAAGGCTGTTTAATTTTGGAAATCTTTCCCT